CAGCGCTAACTATATGATTGTCAATATCAATAATTGTCTTAGATCGTGCTAGCGAATATTTAATTCCTGACATGGCGAGATTTATTTCTGACACATAGTTCTTATGCCTTGACCCGTATATCGCATCAATAGCAACCATCTTCTTAAAAAGTTTTTCATTTAAAGTATAATTACGGTTGTTATTATCATTATGAGTAAGTGAATTAATGAAATTAACAACAACTGGGTTACGATTAGCTAGCCAATTTTCGGGTACAAAATTCAATAAACTGTTAAGAGAAAATCGTTGTTTATTTAAAATTAATGATTCGATATCATTATAAATATTTTTACGTTCATAATTTGCAATTTGAACTATCGAATTAATTCTTTTCTTTTGACTATTAAACCGATTTTCCCATTTAGATTTTAACTCTTTATTTTTTTCGGATAGCTCATTATTTATTTTATTTATTTCCTGAATTTGTCCCCAACTCTCTACTACATAATCATAAGCGTATTCTAATTGTTTTTTAAGGTTTTCTATCTCGCTTACTTTTATATTCAATTGCGCTTGAAGCAGAAAAATATCATTTTCAAGGGTATGCGACGTATTATCAATTTCATCAGTTTGAACGCCAATTTCACAAGTATTTTTTTCAACTTCCATTTCATATGCATGCTCCGTACGAGCCTGCTTTTCAACCAATTCATTTTCAAGATCAAGATAATATGCTTGTCGATTTTGTTTATTTGAATAATTTGCATTTAAAAGAACTTGCCGTAAGAAATCGGATATAATAAGTTGGTTATAATGTTTTTCACATAAAGAAAAATCTTCTAAATGTGTTTGAATCTGAACTAATTCAGGGAAAAAACTATTATACAATGGAAGACGATTTTTTGCTAATTTACTATCCGCATGCCGTATGGTTTGTGAATCTTTAGTTTCACAATCTAACAATCCAGAACCTTCATGCAATGAAACTGAAGGGGCCAAAGTGCAAGGTAGTTCATATGCTGGTCGTCGTTTATGTTGTTGATGTTGACCAGGTTCTACTAATAAAAAAAATTTTAAGGTTTAGAATAAGTAAATTATAATGAAAAGTCGAATAAATTTATTACTTACTTGTTTGGCTCATTTTTTTTAATATTGCGGCTTTGGTTTTATTGAGTTTTGTGATTAAAAACAAAAAAAATATCTTTAATCAAATAACTATATAACAATAATGACTATTGGAGCATGTAATTTCAAAAACAAAATACAGACAACTCGTAATTCTAGCGATTAAAAAAAAAAAACAAATCCCCCCGATTTTGCTAGTACATATGTTAAAAAAAGTGGTAGTAGTGACGTAAAGTTTAGGTTGATTATTTGCTTTTCTAGGAACAAAGTACTCGAATTCTAGTGTTAAAAATTTTCAAATATTTAGTAACTGAAAAAACTTAACTTTTATATCTTTTCAGACTCTAATAAAACGATCTGTTTATAAACTGATTATAAAACTACTTCAGTACTTATTCTGAACTTCTTAAGGGTTCTCTATATTACAAAAACAATTATTTAGATTAACATGTGAAAACTGTGAATAACATCAAAATTTAAATAAAAATCAGATGAAGATTATTTTAGAATAATATATTTAAATACAGAAATATAGAAATGTCCCTTACTGTATGTGCTATAACTATACTTGCGACACTCTTCACGCTGATTTATTCTGTTATCCCAAGATATTCAATTCTTGAATCTAGAATGAAATAAATGTTAGAATATCAAACAAAAAAAA